TGACATGTATATATATATATATATATATATATATATATATATATATATATACACATAAACACATACAAACATACACACAGAATAGAATACTAGTCAGCCATAAAAAAGAATGAAATTTTGCTATTTGCAGTGACATGGATGGACTTGGAGGGCATTATGCTAAGGGAAATAAGGCAGACAGGGAAAGACAAATACTGTATGATGTCACTTATATGTGGAATCTAAAAAATACAACAAACTAGTGAATATAACAAAAGAGAAGCAGACTCACAGAGAGAACAAACCGATGGTTACCAGTGGGGAGAGGGAAGTGGGGGAGGGGCAATAGAGGGGTAGGGGAGTAAGAGATACAAACTATTAAGTATAAAATAAGCTACAAGGATATATTGTAAAACACAGGGAATATAGCCAATATTTTATAATAACTATAAATGGAGTATAACCTTTAAAAATTGTGAATCACAATATTAGAAACTTGTAACATATAATATCGTATGGCATACTTCAATTTAAAAAGATTTGCTCTTTTTAGATTAAATTATTATTTAGTTTTGCTTTTTTTGACCTGTATGTGGTTTTCAGGACTCACATTGTAAACTTACCATTTAGTTTCTAAATTTGTAGCTATAGTTTATTCATTTTCACTGCTCTGTAATATCTGATTGTGTGAATGTACTACAGTTTACTCTGTCTCCTGTTGGTGACACAATTGAATTATTTCTAGTTTTTGCTGTTACACACAGTGCTACTATGAACATTCTTGCACATGTGCAAGCTTCCTCTAGGAAACGTACCTAGAAGCGGAACTGCTCTGTTGTTACATATAAGAATGTTCAGTTTTCCGAGATAATGCCACCTGTTTTCCAAAGTGTGGGTATACAAATTTATACTCCCATAATTAATGTGTAAGAGTTCCAATCAATCATAATCCCTCCTACCATTGTCTTGCCAAATGTTTGATTTTTGCCAATAGAGTGGGTATAAAGTGGTATCTCATTGTATTGATAATTTGCCTTTCTCTAATTACTAATTGGACTGAGCATCATTTTGTTTGCTTATTTGGCCGTACACATGTCCTGTTCTATGAACTATCTATGTCCATCTTTCTAGTGTTTCGTTTTTCTTATTTATTTGTATAAATTCTTTATATATTCTAGAATATAGATGATAATGTTTGAAATATCTTCTTGCAGTTTGTGGCTCCTCTTTTAAATTTATCTTTTGAGGAACTGAAATTCTTAGTTTAGAATTTATCCATCTTTCATGTTTACCACTTTTGTGTCTTTTAAAAATCCTCTCTACCCCAAGATATTTCTAATAATTTGTTCATAGATGTAAAAAAATATTTTCTGTGTATGTCAGATGTGTTTCTTCCTTTTCAGTTCTTGTGCATCTAATTAATTTATTATTTTTGTATTGCTGTGTTAACTAAGACCTCCAGTGCAGTATTGAATGGAAGCCTTGTGGAGTCATCCCTGTTGTATTTCAGTCTGATAATCATTGTCTTTTAAATGGCAGGTTTAATCAGTTTGTATTTGCTGTGAGTATTGATTTATTTGGACCTATTTTTATCATCTTAATTTTATTTTTATTTATCTTGCTCTTTACTACTTTTTTCTTTTCCTGGCTTTTCTTTTTATTTTTCATATTCCATTTTTTAATATTCCTATTTTGGTTCTTTTAGGGAATTGTACTATGCACATGCAACTTAAAAAAATTCAAAGTCAAACAATATTTTTACCTCTCCTTTTGAACACTGTAAGGCCTTAATACACTTAAGCTTGATTCATCCCCCTCCTAGTTATTGTTATTTTCTTCATTATTTTTTGTTCTGTCTTTTATTTTCAGGCCACAAATTAGATATTATTATTGTTTTTCTTTAATACTGGCATCATTTCTTTGGATTTGCATAGATGTTTACCATTTTCTTTGCTCACCATTCTTATAACTCAGACTGTTTTTTCTGAAATACATCTAGAAATTCCTTCCATTGGATCTCCAGTTGGCATATGTTTATTGGCATATTTTTGTTCATCTATTAATATTTTTCACTCTTGTTCTTGATATATAGTCCTGCTGGGTAAGTAATTTTAGGTTGCCACTTATTTCCTCTTGGTACTTTGAAGATTTTATTCCAGAGTCTTCAATATTTTATTGTTCCTAATAAAAAGTCTCCTGTCATTTTGATTACCTTTCTTTTGTATATGATCTGTCTGTTCTCAATGGCTACTTTTAAAATATTCTCTTTAGTCTTGCTCTTTTGCAGTTACACTACTATAAGGAGGATCTCTGCACTGATTTCTTTGTATTTATCCTCCTTGAGATACATTATGTCATGTATCTGTGACTTCGCATTTTTAAAAATAGTTCCTGAAACAGTCATAGGCATTATCTCTTTAAATCCTATCTCTCCTCCATTCTCTTTGCTGTCTCCCACAGAACTCCTATTAGATATATATTTGATCCTTCATATCTCTTAATATCTTGATATGTTTTTATATTATTTATTTCTTGTCATTCTCTGCCACATTTCTTAGGTAGCTGTTAAGTTAAAGTGAGGCGTGATAGTAGGAAATCATTGATGACTCAGAGGTTCCTAATCTGGGTCAGTGGGCCAATTTTGATATTACCTTCTTCACTTTTATTTCTCACTTTAAAATAAAATACGATTTTTAGAAAGTATTTGCAAACTAAATATAACGTGAGTCTGAGTATTGGTCTAAGGTACTAAAAGCATTCTGGGTTTGTATGTTGGCATCTGAGTTGTAAGAGATGAGAGTACTATTGTATGATTTCATGAGTCATTTCCTCTTTAAATATACAGGAACAAGGCATTAGCTGACTGCGTTATTGAGTCTCTGAAACACAGATGTGACAGCTAATGAAACAGCTCTAGGTACTCTGTTCATGAACACATAGCCAAAAAGTAATAATCCAGAAGTAGTTTTAACAGTATTAAGGACCATTAACCTGCCTACCTGGTCTCAGTGAATTTCAGAACAATATTTTAAATGTCAGTTTATCAAGGAAATGAAACTCTTCTGAAAATTGATGAATTTAGTCCTGTCACAGATTAAAGTCAAAAAAGACACTGGCAAGTAGAAGAAAGAGATGAACATCTTAAATGTTAACTACTTTTAACCCATTTGCTACAGGTCCAAGACTTATACATAACTATCATGGATAAGATTTCATCCTGTTTTATATTGCTTCCGTATATACCTTAATACATTTGAGAAAATACCCTATTTGGAATTGGGATTAAAGGAATTTAAAGAAAATCCTTAAAGTAATTAAGGGTAATTATTATTGTACCACACCCTGTGGTTAACAGGAAATATTTATACTTCTCTTATTTGTTTTTGGCAGGGTTGCTACAAGTTGAGTTGAAAACAAGAAAAACTTGCTTTTGGCGTCATCAAAAAGGAAAGCCAGATACCTTCCTTTCCACAATTGAAGCCATTTACTACTTTCTGGTAGATTATCATACTGATATTTTAAAAGAGAAATACAAAGGACAATATGATAATCTTTTATTTTTCTACTCTTTTATGCACCAGTTGGTAAAGAATGCCAAATGCCCTGGAGACAAGGAAACAAGGAAACTTACCCATTAGTTTTTAGGAAGTCACTTAATGTATTTTATTTTGCTAAAATCAATAAAATTATAACTGTGCTTTGTTTATTCCTAGGAAATATTTCTGTATAATGTCTGTAAGACCACTTGAAAAAATAAGGTTTTATTTATTTTACTTCATATTTTTTTAAATGAAGTTATTTCTAAGGGAGTTTTCAGAGATAGTGTTGACTGAAAAATTCAACTTGGCATATCTTAATTTTATTACCATATTTTAATATAATGTGTTGTATTTATGTATATGTAATTAGGTATAATTAGATATTTGTTTAGAGATCTTCGTATCTTTCCACCTATACTCACAGAGTCTTCTCAAGTAATTTGTTTAAGGTTAATGGCAAACATGGGCAGAACTAGAATTGTAGATCCGGTCCCATAGGGCTATTTCTTCTTAAGTCCACCCTGTCTTTGGTGGACATTTGTTGCTTTTTTCATCTGCCTGGCATCTTTTTTAGGGAGAAATTGCTAGCAATCATGTCCTATCATAGGGATGGACGTATGATCCGGTTTAGCAAGCAGAGTGCCTAGTGATTGATCCAGGGATGAGCACATGTCCCAACATCCTTCTTGATAAGTGATATGGTTGCTCTAGGAGATAGGGTTTATTTTTCAAAAAGCAGTGGTTAAAAGCACAGACTCTAGAGCTAGACTATCTAAATCTAAGTCTCAGCTTTCTTTTTTCACCTACCAGTCATTTGTCAGTTTCTTCATTTCTGAAGAGATGGTAATACAGTAGCTATTTTAGGATTATGGTGAGGTTTAACTGAATTAATGTATCTAAGGGGCTTTCAACAGCACCTGGCATATACTAAGTGCTATAAATGTGTTTACTCTTTTTATTATTTTATGAAATTGTGAAATAAGCATGATGTATATAATCCTAGAGCTACTGGTGACATCTCTGCTGCAGGTGGCAAGAACTTGCCTTAGAATGAAGCCAGCAAAAGAAAGCAAAGTGGAGAGATAAAAAGACTGAGTCCTGAGGACATCATTTAATCATCTAATCTAGCTGCTTGTGAATGGAACCCTACTGTGCTGAGTAGCTTCTGTTTGCCCTCTGGATCCACCCTCCTCTCTTTCCCATTCTGCTCTCTGCTCTGTGAGGTAGGTCCCCTTGCCCACTGGCTTTTGCTTGGGATCAGCAGATGGAAGCACTGCAGGAGATTGGAGGTTGAAAGGAAAATGAAATTATTTATTTCCCTTGCTCCTTTCCTGGCAGGTCACCATGGGTTGGGTGTGTCCTTCTACTGAAGGTCATCCTATCAGGCATCCCTTTCCCAGCAGTTTATTCCAGTTAACTTCAGGCCCATGCTCCCTCCGTTTACCCCTTTTCACTTATATTGTGATGAGTCCAGGGTATTAATAGCCCCAGAGTAGGTCATTATACCTTGCTGGTTTTCATAAACCCTGCCTATACCTTTGTAAATAGTAATTTTATTATATTTTTCTCAAATGTCCCCGTTTGAAGTTGCCCTCTTTCTGGGACACTGACTGATAAATTTCACCCATGTGGGTGTTAGAAATACAGTACATTTCCCAAAGTATACTCAGTGGGACACGTGTTTTTATGAATAAATGAGTTATTGGTAAAATTTGTTTGCTGCACCTTATATTCCCGTTAGAGATTCAAAAGGCACAAAATGAAAGTGCTGAAAAGTCCTGAAATAAACATTTTGAACTTTATTTAAGTTAGTATTTCTTAAACTTATTTGAATAAGTAATGCCTGCTAACATACTGTGGAAATAGAACATTTGAAATGTTTTAATTTAGAGCAGTCCCTGATTAATATATATGTGGGAATTGAGGCCTAAAGAGATTAAGCAACTTGCCTGTAAGGTCACACAACTAATTAGTGGTAGAACCTTATCTAGAATCTAGGACTTCTGATTTGGTTCAGTGAGGTCACCATTTTATTATGCTTTTCTTTAAAAGGAATATGGATTATGTAAGGTTTGAAAATTATTAGTCCCATACTCTTAGCCAAATAAACTAGCTGACTTGCCTATTAGTTAATAGGCAATAACTGGCTAGCAGTTATTTTTCAAGAATGGAATTAAAATAGATTTCTTCATGTTTAGAACTTGACCTTGGGAACAGAAGAAGGCCTGAATTGATTTAAGCAGGGCCAAAGTTGGATTCCTCTGGGCTAAATTTGAACTTTCCTGAGCCAAAATCTATTGCCATTTAACTGGCTCTCCAAACCAACAAAATATAATTGTTAAAAGGGAGAGGGGAGGGCTTCCTTGGTGGTGCAGTGGTTGAGAGTCCGCCTGCCGATGCAGGGGACACGGGTTAGTGCCCCGGTCCGGGAAGATCCCACATGCTGCAGAGTGGCTGGGCCCGTGAGCCACGGCTGCTGAGCCTGCGCGTCCGGAGCCTGTGCTCCGCAATGGGAGAGGCCACAACAGTGAGAGGCCCACGTACAGAAAAAAAAAAAAAAAAAAAAAAAAGGGAGAGGGGAAAAAAAGAACTCATTTGCCCCTATCTTACAGCTGTCTTAAGAAAGATAACCCATATACTCCATAAGAGCCTAATTTATAACTAAGGCCAGAAAAATCTTAAGTTTTTCTCCCCAAGTAATAATAATACCTGTTTGAACAATGAATTGTCTGTACTTGTCTTGTTTTTCTTTGGTATGAAAGACTGTAAAAATGACACTAGTTTTTTACTCCTCCCTGTATTCTTTTTTTCATGCTCCTTTGAAGTACATTCTCAAATACTTTCTGGGCCATATGTATTTCCAAACATCTGGTGTGTTGCCACTTACTCTTGTGCTACTGCTGTCACCATAAACACATACATGTCTGGGTTAGCCTCCTTGAGGGTGAGACATGCATGAAGCAGAGCCAGGTTACCCTGGTCACCCTAGCTGAATCCTGTCTTCAACTGGCTGATAGCCAGTCAAACCCCAGGTATGTGAACCATCTCAGCCAAGATCAGCAGAACCACCTAACTGACACCTATATGATTCCAGATTTGTGAGCAAGGGATGTCCATTGTTATGCTTCTGAAGGCTTATAGCTATTATTATACAGCATTACTGTGCCCATATATATCTCATCTTTGCATATAGTATCAGACACACCTTCCTCAAGTGCCTTCTCACATTCTTGGCCCCACTGTTTCCTAGGCCACCAGCCACTTTGCCATAGCTACCACCCTACATAGTGACACATTACTAGCAGGCTGGAGTGATTCTTCTGCCTGAGGTCAACTAGCCACGTGCTCAGAATCACTGGCCCATCCCAACGCTTCTGGACTCAAGGAAGCATCATGCCACAGGGTTTCCTCAGTGATTGTCAAAAGGGCTAGATGATGCAATCTGGAAGAGCAGTGAAGTTAACTGTCTGGAAAACTTGGATCAATGGACTAGAAGAAGCCATTGGACAAATTCCTCTCCCTTCTCATGGACTATTTTGAGGCATAGTTTTTCACCCTCCTGCCCAGAGAGGTACCATGTAGCTAAACAACTGTACTTGCCAAATTATCAGCAGTGTCTCTTCATGGCTTTTCACGAAACAGAAACCAAATGCTATACAATAATTTATCAATTTGCATTTGCTCCCAATCTCTGCTAGCTTTACTTCCTTACTCTCACCAGCCTGGATTGCCCCTTCTAATAAAGTAATAGATTTAATTTTTGCCTGAGCCTCTCTTTTCTAGAGAAGCCAGGTGGTTTAGTCTGTATTTGGTGAGGAAAGCAGATTCATTAAAGTATTACATGAATGAAGAGCTTTAATAAAGGAATTGGGGTTCACCCAAATATGGGAGTTGCTGGGGAAATAAAGGTCTGGAAGACCAGCAGAAGAGAATTAGAGAAACATTCACTAACTAGTTCGGCCCGAGATGCTCAAAGTACTCATGACTTAGTTTGTAGAAATGTATATGTATTGAACATATCCCTTTTCTAATTTCCTTAATCTTTCTAGTAGCCCTTTGATTCAGCTGAAAGGCATCTCTTTAATTCCTTCAGAGGTTGTACAAAATAAGTGTATAGTTAGACCTTACTTGGTCTTTTACTTGAGGCCATCATAATGGCAATACCCTGGATTTGTTCTTTGTCCTAAGGTTATATTTAATGATCAAACATTTGATTTGGTGAAAAACAATTTCATTTTCCAGTCTAGGCTCTATATTCCTTCTCAATAATATTTACATTACCACTTCCTTATTTTTGAGCTTGTCTTAGAGTACCTTATAAATTGCAGTGAATAGCAGCCAGCTTATTCTTTCAAAATTCTGCCTCAAACTCTCACCCAATGCCATGAGGGTATTAGGTACACTTCTGTCTTCCATGTTACTGCAGATGATAATTTTACCACACTTTTGCCTCCAAATACTGGCAATTAAAAGACCCTAATGTGGGGGCCACTTAACCAGACTCAGCCACTCAGCCACAACCCCCTGTGTCCAGTATTCTGGATGATAGAAACCAGCTCCACAGAGAGAAACAAAACAGTAAAATAAACGAGGAGAAACTCTTCACTAAAATGTTCCCTGAGTCATCAGCACTGCAGACACAACACGGGTTCTTCAGCATCAGGTTCAAAGGTCAGGGCCACGGGTCACAAAAAAGTGGCCCTTTACCACCTCCTCAGTGGAAAGAACTGTGTGTGTTTTCTTTAGGGTGATAGAAACAGCACACTGAAGCTGCAAACATTTAAATGCACACAGGCTGTTAAGGGTTGTAAAATTCTTGAATCCAGGCAGAGAAAACAAGAGCCCCCAAAGGAGAAAAAGTTTACTCACCCATAAAGTTCATGAGTAAGAGAAATTTTTAATTTGTACATTATTTATGACTGTGATTAACTACTTGGTCACCTAAATAAAAGGTGGTTTAGGAAAAAAAAAAGACCCTAGTGAAAAGTTTGGCTAAACACTCAATGAGCCTGCAATGAAGACAACCACCCATCAATAATACTTGGTGAAAGACTCCAACTTAGAAAGAGGTGGGGGAAATCCAAAGGAAACAGACAAGC